CCAATGCCGTCACCTGAGCCCATCCCTTTCCCATATCCCAGTGGAAAAGAAGGCTGGACTGTAGGAAAGACCTTGGGTGAAGTCTTCATCAGGCGACTAGACCTGTCGAAATGGTCAAAAGCTATGAAGAGGGCAACAATGGACACCAATCAGGCCATCGCTGAATGTGTCTGTGTGCAGCACTGGAAGCAGCACCTTGCAGAGAATATCTCACATGGGATGTCAGGATCAATAGGTGTAGTTGTATTGCATGAGCTTGCCTCTGCATTCACTGATTTCCGTTATCATGACCGTTTCGAGCCTGCCGGACCCATGTACCCTCCTGGGGCAGTTTGGTTCTTTTGTCGATGCACTTTCATCCAAGATGGGTATATCCTGCTGCAATTCAATGGCCATCCATTTCGATGCCTGGAAGATGATGATGGCATCTCATCCGATCCAGAAGAGTTCTATAGTGAAAATGATTGGGACGTGGAGGAAGCGGAAGATTCTTCCACATCAGCCTCAGAAATGCGAAACCCCCATGAGTCGCCGTTGCTGCACACCTCCCCCTTCCACTCTTGGTGCAGTGGGAGGGGGCATTCACTGTGTCCAGAGACTTCCAAACACTGTTAGAACTGGGTGAGGGCGGACGATTCCGGAGGGGGACCGGAGACTTAGCAAGGAGGGACCTTGGCCTCAGCGACTCAAGCAGAGCGCTGTGCCATTGCTGTTTGTCCATTTGGTCCTTAATTTCACAGTAGGTGAGCAGGAAGTCTCTAGGGGGCATTTCAGGTCGATTTTAGACTAAGCCTAAAACGAGTATGTACAAGCGCCGATATATACATATAATGGTGAGGGTGAAAGCACGAGGAAACAAAGGGGATCCGAATCGGAATGAAGGCGTCCGAACAGGAACAAAGGGATGATAGAAGCGGAGCGGTACCGAAGGTCATAAGGCAGAACCTGTGGTACGTCCGAAAGGAGGTAAGGAGGGCGAGGCCCAGAGGGGCAGGAGGATGAGGGGAAGTGGGGATGATGACTAACTGGCTAGAATGGGAAGAAGCAGCAGTCCAAATAGGGATGAGGGGAAAACACGAGAGATACATTACAAGCGGCGAAAGTGCCAAAGATGATCCGTGGAGCTCAGGGGTTGCGGAGCTTACGGAGGTTATGGAGGCAGGGTTGAAAGTCCGAGGAATATTGGCAATGGTGTTTATGTAGTATGAGGTCACCAATGCAATGGACTAAGACTGAGGTGGAGTCAAAGTCCGAGGTAGGAACTATGATGGAGGCTCGGAGCAAAGGTATGAGCGGTGTCCGAGTACGAAGTACGGGACAGCAGCGGAAGGTCGTAACTTGGCAGGGGGTCGACGGAAGAGGGCCAGAGGGAAGAGAGAGGAAGGAGGAAGGAGGGAAGGTGTGGAGGAGAGGAGAGGAGTCAGGTCTGAAGGTGAGTATCGGAGCGGATGGGAGAAGAGTAGGAGGATGATGGAAGGGTGGAGGTGTTATGGGAAGGAAGTGGAGGAGTGGGAGGAGGAGTAGTAGGAGGGTGGCGAGAGGGGTGGTGTTCAGTCCGAGGTGGGTATCGGAGCGGATGGAGATAGGACAGGAGAGGGATGGAGGAGTGGAGGTGGCATGGGAGGTGAGAGGAGGTGTGGTGCCAGGACCGAAAGTGAATATCGGAACGGACAGCAGTAGGGTAGGACTCCGGAGGTGGTGAAGGAGGAGGTCCAGGAGTCGGGTCGGGATCGGGTATGCATGGATATGACAAACACCAGGCAAGGTCGTGGTGTCGCCAAAGCCCTTTACCTCTCCAACGCCCTCGTTCAACAGAACGAGGGGCATCTTATTCCTTTTGTTCCATAGACCATCTAGACCGGTGGCCCTATGGACCGGATCACCGTACAACTGCACCAGAGCGTCATCGCTTTCCTTCACATCCTCCCATGGGAGTCATTCAGTTTGGTGAAGCCTGAACCCCATCCTCCCATACCTTGGCCCCAATCTCCCACCCCCAACGAGAATCCTTGCCTCCCCCACTTCCTCTGCCATCCTCCTATGAGCCACCATCGAGGCCGGGGGGCAGCACTGCCGGATATCACACACTTCACTTCAGTCGAGCAAATCGTGGTGCAGGATGGAGGGACAATATCTCTTCTCAGCAATGCCATGATCATTCGAGGTATGCAAGGTGTATACAGGAGTGTTTTGTCTGTTATTCTCACACTGCATGGTGATATCCACAGGTGCACCTCCTTTACCCGTTTGGCCACTCTCCCCTACTCCTGAAGCTGGAGACCATGTAAAGAAGTGGAGAACGGAATTATCTGGTAAGCTGTCTGCTCTTTTCCTCTGTGGGGTCGTTTCCGTCTAATCTGGAGACGATATCTTAGAAGGCACTGTCAACCGAGCTTATCGTCAGACACCGATCCGCATTGTGGGGACAAATACTTCTGCCCCTACAATGGATCATACGCCTCCTGGGTGCGTGCCGCACCTTCGGCAAAGACAAGTCTCTTGAACGTCTCTCCAAAACACTGCGAGTTCATGGACACTTCCCAGCGACCGGTTAGCTATGATCCACTCCGCCCACACCTTGCGCTCATTGAGCATCATCGCCCCTTCCAGTACATTCCGCTGCCAATCCTTAACATCGATCTACTTCGTTCTCCCGATGGTCTGAAGTGGCTTCCAACATCTGAGTGGAGGGAGAAGATCATTGGCACGCAGTCCACGGTAAAGCAACTTCTTCGCCATGTTCAAGACGTAGTCTCCCATCTCTGCCATGCAGAAATCCTTCCCTCTCACCATGAAATTATGGCTATACTCAAGCGCGAGTCAGAAGTCTACCTTGACAAGCTGTTCCACTCCCGGATGATTGCGGAATCTGAAAACTACCATCATGACACCGTTATCGATATTGAACGCTGGATTGGAGAGCTATGAGGGCATCTTCGCTATTGCTACCTCGTTTCTCTTGATGCATGTGCCATATTGGGTGGTGTGGAACTTCCGACATGGCCAGTTCAAGAGTTAGTCCTTGGGACCATCTTTGACGCCTCAGAGGGCATTCACGCTGAGGTCCATGACCCCACCCTTAGTGCCTCTGCCTTGGCCTTCGCCCTCACTCTGGAAAGGTGGGGGGTTCCCCATTGGAGGGTGGAGTATGGCGAGAAATGCTTTGCAGTGTCTCGGTCATGTCCACCTTTACTTGACCAGGTGGCGGAGCTTGCTCTTCAATGGGAGATATGGAACTGCGCTGAGTCCAAGGATCCAAAAGGTGCTGTGAAGGGGGACATTGTTGTAGGATTTGACTTTGTTGTTATGGCAACCGCTACACATACCCACCCACAGCAATTCTTGTTTGTGGCCCCGAATGACAATCACTCTGCCCAGCACTTTGTCATGGAGCAATGCCTCCAAGCGCTTGCCCCCAATGGAGATCCTACTTCCTTCGAATGCTTCTCCAGCATGATGAAGAACATCCTTCAGGGAGTCTGGCTTGGGTTGAAATATGAAGAGGGTCTGCATCGTAGTACAGCCTTGGAAGGCAGGAAATGGAAGAACATGAGAATCCCATTCCCCATTGGCACACACGCTCCACTCATGGCAGCATTTGTCAAAATCCCTTTCTCGTACTACCACCCTCAACACCCCCTTCCATCATCCATCCAAATGGTGCCTGTTATCAGTGTTCCCTTGTCATCTGCCACTGGCCCTGCCACCACCGACACTCGGCTAGGTATATCCATACACCTGTCAGGCCCGGTACTGGAGCTACGTGGTGATCTGGATGCAGTGAAGCAGTGGGGGGTTCTTGCCTATCGTGAAGTCCATGCCCCAACAGTGAATCAGAAAGTGGACGGCTGAGATGGGTCGACACACTGTCTCAACCTACTCTGCAAGACACAAGACAGTGCTCACAGTCTCAGGCAATACCTCCAAGCAAGATTCCCAGGTGCGACTATCAGAAATATTGCCATGCATGACTATACACCCAGCGGATACATTGGGGTATATGAGCTTGGATTTGTTGGTGAGGTCTTTTCTTGCGGGCTCAACCAAACCATGATCCAGACTCTCTTGGACCATGCACCTGCCCCGCTAATCCCTCAAGGCCCAGACACCTTGCCAACTGAGACAACGGAGCTGTGGACCCGGATGTACTCCCAAGACCTCTTTGAATACAATCGCTTCCGGATCATGACAACAATGTCCAGCCAAGGATGTTTACCGTTCAAAGTGGTTGAGGTGACCTTCAAACAAGATGTGCTCGAAAAGATGTGCCTGTGCGGGCCCTTTGAGTTGAGCGAAGAGGAACGTTTTGCTCTCCTTCGTTTCTGCCTTATCCTTTGTCACCTTCGCCGCTTCAAACGCACATTCCATCAACAAATCTACCCCTCAGAGGGTTCTATCTATCCTGGTGTCGTTCGTTTCATTGCCGGTTCTGCAAGGCAACTTTTTGAGGGCATCGAACTACGAACAAACGAGATGCTGAAGAGGTCAGGGAACCCGTCTCAAGAGGAGTTTGAGTCCATTCGTTGGCAGCCAAAAACTGGCCTCTTTACACTCAAAGTGGTGGAGAATCCACCTGCTCCCCTAAACAAGCTGACTGTGGAGGAACTACAGGGGTTGTAGTTGGAGAGACATGTAACATTATGCAGGAGGGGGTTGTGGCCGCCGTTCATACGTTTCATACATGGTCTACCATTTGTAGCACCTGCACCCTGTTCTTGATTCTCACTATGCAAAGCATATGTTCTTATTTACTGCAGTGTGAAACGGACTTATACAGACGTCAGCATGTGGTAACTCGTATTGCGACTCTTGGGCTGGTGTATCGCCCTCTCTGTAACTCGGACCGCTCTGTATTTGTGTTCACATTTACAGTATCCATCTTACATTTGTCAAGCTTACAAGTTGCGTGGCTATGAGTTAAATAATGACCTGTGTGATACCTCCATTGTAAATAATATCTATTCACGCTTTTAGCGATTAGCGTAATGTTGGGCTATCCTTCAACCAGGCAACATCTGGATCCACATGTTCAAAACCTCATCTTTCTTGTCACTAACTTCGTCGGTATCAAGCAATTTTGCCATGGCCCTGGCAAGTCTTCCTACATCGGCACCTTTACCACGAAGCTCATCTCCAACGTCCCTAACGATTTCCCAGTGCTGAGCTGTGTCCAAGGTTTCAGGAGGTGGTACCTTCTTGTCGATGGGCAGTTTAATGATGTCGATCTCCACCAAGCATTTGACATTTCCTTTCAATAGCGCCTCCGAATGAACCGCTGGCAGAATTTTCAGTGCAGCTCGCCACACCGAGTGTCATGCACATTTGAACAAGGTGTCAAAGGTGGCAGGCTCACCACCCGTGCTTGTTGTGGAAGATGGTGTCTCCGAGCGTGCCCAGGGTGTTGGCCCTTCGTTCACAGTGAGATACGTAATCCCATTATTATTTGATCCTGACATCGATTGCCCTCTAGCTGGAGTGCTGTTGGGGGTTGGATGAATCAACCCAATAGGAGGGATAACCATTGAGGTATGCGATTCTGGAACCGTTTTGCTAGTTCATTCCGTGAAGACATCATTTTGCGGGATGTCAGTGAGTTGTGGCTTGCGTTCTGGTTGGGATCTGGAGCGTACTTCCAGTGAGAACATGGGCAGGTTGAGCGGCTCTATTTTTGAAGGGAGTATTGGTGATAAGGACCTGCTTGATAAAGGTGAGCTGTTACTCGGTGACACTGTCTCTGGTACCACCTCATCCTCCTGTGCTCCTGTCACCTCATTCTGTGGCAGTCTGGCTCTGTCCACCTGACTGCTGTTCCCGGGCCTCATGCGAGGGGGCTTGGCCTTTGCTAAAGCATGCGTGTGAGTGGCCTTCGGCTTCAACAAGTCGAGTGGCTCTATCCTTGAAGGGAGTATCGGTGACAATGACCCGCTGGATACAGGTGAGTCATTATCCGGTGTCCCCGATACCACGTCATCACCCTGTGGTCATACCGCCTTATTCTGTGGCAGTCTAGCTTCATTCACCTGACTGTTGTTCCCAGGAACCATGCGAGGAGGCTTGGCCTTTGCTGGAGCACGCATGTGGGTGGCTTTGGACTTCTTCCTAACTCGCTTGGGAGATGGAGACTCTATCTTACTGTCTCTGACTGTATTCCCTTCCGGTGAGTCTGGTAAGTCTGCCTTGCGTTTCCTAGGTCGTGCCATGGTGAGCGCAGCTTTGGCAACTGCCCTCCTCACCTCATTTTCGGGTAGCATGTATTTGCCAACACTCCCATTTGCATCAGGTGCGTAATGGAGCACCTCACGCTTCTCATACTCCTCTGGTGAGTCGTAACCCATCAGCTGTGCCCTTTGGAACTTCACTGACATTCCCTTACCTTCTGTCATTGTCTCGATTCTCAATTTCTGTTCAGGGTCGGAGTGGTAGAGCTGCATCATACCCTGAGCAGACTCACATGGGGTCCAATCACAAGGGAGCGACTCGTTCAAATGTCGGATGCCATGATGCCAGCCAGCAAAATGGAGATGATGCTCAAGTAAGAATGGAAGTATGTTTGCAACCCTCCAGTCGGTCCTGAGCTCGCTTACACATGTTGCCTCCTCTGACACCAGATATCAGATAGGCAATGTGAAGTGCTCTGTCAAAGTAGGACGTACATATCATTGTTTTAGGCTGCACAGCAGCCTCAGTGTGGCGTCGGCTATGTGGGCCATATGACTTGTCTGCCATGGCAAGGCCGTCTTTCCTTTTCAATATCGGTGTATGATAATCGATGTTGTTTTCGTCCATGGCCTCCATCTTCACTGTCAGGTATTTGTCCAGGCTATCATGGAAATGGACACTTTTCCTGGCAGTTGCTACAACAGACTTCATCAGGCCTGATGCACCAAACTCCTCATTGTTGGACTTGTCCGGGTTCGTGAAGGCATGAAGATGACGAAGGAAGCTTCTGCAGTAATTTCAGCTGATGGGGACCATGAGGACGAGGTGCTCATACCTCTGTTTGCTGATATCGGGTTGGTATGGGCTAAAAGAATTACGAGTAAGCTATCTGCACTTTCCTGCGCTTGCGCTGCATACCTGAAAGCCTTTATGCCGTCATACAGATTTCTTATGGCAAGGGCTGCATCCTCGGTGAGCTGGTGAAAGCTACTGTGGACTGTTCCGGGGGGATGGTCTCATCCGCTACAAATCCCACTACAGTGACGCCAATGGGATGGGTGGAACTAAGTGTGCAGACCTATCATGACAACATGTAGTTAGATTGATTTCTATAACTGCTCCACTCAATCTACTTCACCTGTGCTGCATATTTTCCTGTCATTTTCTGAAGCAGGTGGAGACTTTCTGTCAGAGACCAGGTTGAGATGAAGGAGTGTCTCCATGGCAGAGGGCTTCGGCCTCAGCGACTTGTACATGGGGAACAATAATAACAAGGATGTCGTTGCATGGGGCACAGCCCCGATGCCCTCCGCAGGAGCTAGAGTCTGAAGAATGCGTGGGTGTGCAAGGAATGAGCACCCCATGGCTTTAAGGTCTCTAGTATCATTTGACTTCAACATGAAGAGTATAGCATGTGTTTTGTGGCTGTGTCGATTGATCGATCAACACTTGATTGACACTACCTTGACTGTGAGATGAGTACATGGTGCTGTGATTTCTGCCAAAAAGCCATTTATCTTGGAGGTGGTGGGATGATGAACTACATCCGGAAATCACCAGGCTGCTTTGTGAAGTTCCAAGAGTTCACTGCTGCAGATGTGCAAGCAACTCTTGATAAAAGTGATAATCCATCAACTTCTCAAGAGGAAGGGGATTTGCTGATACAGGCTGGATCCTCCTCATCTATGGAAGTTGATCCAGAGCTTTATTCCCCATTTGATCCTCCAGCTACCAATCTAGCACAGGCTGTGGATGACCCACCCCCAGACTCTGACAATGAATCGAATATGGAATCAGTTGCCTCCGACATGCTTCCTGAGGATGAGGAAAGTGACTGGGAGGATGGGATTGGATCTGAGGATCCTTTCACATTCCCTTTGGGTGTGATTGATACAGAGGAAAGAGGCTTCAGTTATGAGCACTTTTCAGATGCAGGGACTCCATGTAATGCCGAGCCACTGAGGACAAAATAGGAGGAGAGATATGAAGTGGAAGGACCAAACCCCCACCTTCCATGGGCAAATCTCAGTGAATGGAGACTGGTTGAGTGGTTAGTGGGTCAGCAGCTCTCACAGAGAGCCATTGATAACTTCATTGTTGGGTATGTGACTGAGTCCCTGTGCACCAGTATTGTGGTGCTGATGCACCTGATTCAGACCCAAGAACACCCAAAACAACTGAGCTTTGGGTCTGCAAAGGAAATGTACAACAAATTTTCATCAATGGATGGGGCCCCAGCTTGGCATGCAAAAGAGGTCATCCTCTCTGATGCCCCCACTGAGCCCCAGATCCTGTTTTATTGGGATGTGCTTGAGTGCTCTGATCACATACAAAATAATCCTAGCTTTTCAAATGCATGGGATTATGAGCCACAGCGCATCACATATTCTGACACAGACATCCGTGTCTTCCATGAGCCTTGTACAGGAAATTTATGGTAGAGGTATCAGGTGTGTGTTTAATTATTGGCATTTTGCATCAACTTATACTGGGAGGAGGAAGAATCCCCTGATGGGACAATGATCCAGGGTGTCATTCTTGCAAGCGATGAGACTCACCTTACAAACTTCTCTGGATCAAAAGTTTTTCATGCTGTCTATATGACACTTGGAAATATCCATGGTGACATCCGATGGCAACCTGATAGTGGTGCCTGGCTGCTTCTTGCAATCCTGCCAACATCCTCCTTTACCCAGACTGTCCTCACATACACATCTCCTCAATCACATGACAAATTGACCAAGAATGAGGCAGCCACCCTTCCAGGGATTCTTAAGCATCAACTCTTCCATGCATGCATGAAAATAATCACTGCACCACTTTGCCCCTCTCAGCATCCCCACCCAGTTCTAGGCCCAGACAGAAATGTCTGTATGTGCAGGAGCTGCCTCCTTGGCTATATTGCTGACATGAAGGAGCAATGCCTGATTGCTTGTGTTGCAGCAAGGTCATGCCCTGTCTGCTGTGCACAACCATGTGCTGATGGAACGACAATTTGAGACCATTTGACTGCCAAAAAATGTAATGGAGAATCCACCTTGCATGTTCTGAGAAAGGTCAGGGCAGAAAACCCAGATGCCCCAATTTGGAGGTTTCGGTCATTGGTGTATAAAGAAAAATGTTGAGTTTCTGGTTATGTGGAACATCCATTTTGGGAGGATCTAGATGTAGGACCATCTCAGTTCCTGCATCAAGACCTCCTACATGGTGCACACAAATTCTTCTGGGATCAACCATGTAAATGGATTGCAAGGCTGATAGGGGTCAAAACACTTGACAGGCGTATTTCTCTTCTCCCTAAAGAAGGCTGTTGCCAGTTCAAAAATGGTCTCTCAAAGTTAAAGCAAGCATCTGGGCGGGAGCACAGAGATGTTCAGAAATACATTGCACCAGCATTGGCTCAGGCACCAAATGTCTCACCTCCCTTTACTTCCCTCATCATTGCCCTCCTCCATATCATCTCAATCCTCCAGCTCCTGATGATTGATGATTGCATCTTGCAAGAGCTTGAAAAGCATCTGGAAGCAATGTATTCCCATGCTGATGAGCTTATCAACCTTGGCATCCGAACTAATCTTTGGATACCAAAACTCATGGCTCTGGCACACTTCCAACAGGATATCATTCTAGGTGGGGTTCCAAGCAATTGGAGCTCTGAGACACCTGAAACCCTCCATAAAGTGCTACCCAAATCACTCTATGATCAAACAAACCACCGAAATTTTCAACTCCAAATGATATCAATGCTGACCATTTGTGAGAAGGAAAGGGTGCAACATGAGTATGTGAGGTGGCGCTCATTAATTGCTGAGCCACGACTAGTACCACACAATGATGCACCACAACTTTCTAGCATCAAGATTGCAGATAGGCCCCACCAGGGTAATATCTCTATTGAGGTGGTTGCTGGTTGGAGGCCAGAACTATCAGACCTCCCATCAGCAATTTGCCAATATCATCATGAACAGCAATCACAATGCTCAGCTCAACCTCATTTTGTCTATACAATTGATTCAGAGTGGTTCCCACAACAATACAAGGGTTTGGATCTTTGGTGGTCCTATCAGATCACTGTTCCTGCTTTCAATCAGTTCTACAAGGCAGAAGCAAGGGTCATCAAGTGCAAACCAACTGGTGGTTACAGAAGTGGCGTATTTGATTCTGTCTTTGTCCTTGTCCATCCTCAGCACAATGGAATTCATAGTAAGGGCTATTTGCAGATACCCTAACCCACCCAATACTGACGTGACTTGGCAATGGCAGAATATCGTCCAGCTCAGATTCCACTCATCTTCCAAGCATCAAGTAAAACTGGTGCTAGGGAGGGAGCTGAGCATCATGGAAACAAGCTATTTGCATATGTGCTGTGGTGGTACACTGACATACCAATCAGGCTTTCATCAGGAATGTTTCCTGTAAAAAAAGATCTTGATCACAACAATCAATGGAGAAGTGCCATAATTCCACTAAATTGTATCATGTTCCATTGCCCACTTCACCCATCAATAATTGGAGAGCCTGCCCTTGGTACTACAGCTGATGAAATTTTTGCATCATCAACCCAATTCTATATCAACCCATTTTCAAGCTCCCAATTGTATCAGCGTTTGCATTTGTAGGCCAATATACTAGTATAGGCTGAATGACAAATCAGAGCATGGTGCCAAAATAACTCAGCATATTCTACTGCATGGTGACATGAAAACTGTTCATTAGTAAAAGAGCCCAAGGCAAATGAGCTCTATGAGCCCACTGAGCTCATAGAGCTTTTGGAGTGATGATGGCTATTTTACATACATTTACAGAAACATATATGCATATATCTTTCATTACTCAGCAGGTTCCATGGAGATGGGAAGACCATTCATCAGTAGGAAATCACAAGGTCTATAAGGTCTATGAGACCACAGAGCTCACAGAGCTCATAGAGCTCATAGAGCTTTTAGAGCTTTTCAACTGCTGTGATACATGCATTTTCAACAACATATATACATATTATATTTGCACTTCTGCATCCTTGGGAGAACAAAATGACCTATATTTTGATTTTCTGATCTCTATATGTAGAGGGTGGACAGCACAAAGACTCAATGTGCTCTCAGAGCTCTCAGAGCTCCATACTGAGTTTGCTGATGTGCTAAAGGACCGCCCCCTCACCCAGGAGCTGGACCGTGCAGAGGAGGAAGCAGGAGAGGAGAGACCCACTGAGGATTTTCAGGAGGATGACCAGTGAGGGATGTGTCCCAGTCATCCCCCAGCATCACTGTACCTGCATGTAGATACCATGGCAATTCCAGGACTACAGTGCAACCTAAGTTAAACCGAGTGATTGCTAAGAAAAAAAGAGCCACACCCACAAAACCCCACAGAGAGAACCCACAATGCACCTTGGCTGAGGTTGCTGTTCCCCCACCCACAATCTACGTACTATCCAAACACCCTCCCCAGTCCCTCAACCTTCTGGTGAAGCTGACTGCAACCACCTCTCTCACCTCAGTGACCACCTCCACCCTCCCAGACTCAGGGGCCACAGGGATGTTTGTCAGTCACGAATTCGTCTGGAAGCATGGCCTGGAGACTACCCCCCTACCCCAACCAATCCCGGTCCACAATGTGGATGGCACCCCAAATAAGAATGGATCCATCATGGAGGAGGTGGAGGCACTCCTCACATTTGGTCAACACACAGAGCGAGCTCACTTTGCAGTGAC